GTTCCTTCGGGGGGTACTCTAGCATTTGCTAGATTGGGGGTGGTCTGGTATATATAAGATGGTCACGGCGTGACGGGACAATGTGTGTGTAGGTAGTGAGTAATTGAACTGCAGTCAGAAAGTATTGTTGAAGTTAACGTTGGTTGTTAAAACGTTTGTTATAGAGCGACTGTTGAAAATAAGTGTATCGGTAAAGTTATATTCAGAAAGAATAAACCAGTTTTATTAAGTAAGGACTTGTGTCGCTAAAGTTTCGTCGGAACGAAGTTACGGAAAATCAATTAACGACTGGAGGTGTAACAATATAATATAACCTCTTTAGACTTATTTTCGATCTTTCGTAGATACAACTTGAAATCCTATTTGTCCTACCACTAGCAACAGCGTACTGCTTAGGTGGCTAAGAGACTTATCAACTGGCTAAAGCAACAAGTTTCTTTTCTTCCATAATACTATTTAGATTATGATAACCCACATGCGTTACCCTATATTCATTATATTAAAAGCTATTTGTTCGCCCAACTCACCGAATAATTTAAATCATTTTGTAAAGCAACAACATCTTCATCACAACCAACAACTCCCAAGACTTTAATAATATCAGCAAATGTAAGCAATTGACCATTTTTTTCATCTATTTCATTGATGTAAGCCAAAAAGAGTAAATGTACTAACACTGAGCCGTAAAGTATCTCATTTATAATAATCCTCCTATTTCATGCATCCGGCGACTTTTCGCTTTAACGTGCCAACTTATCCTCAACATCTATAGAAATAATCTTTGAGCAAGCCTTTATTTGTGCCACTTTGTCAAATATTTTCTGAAATTCCTGGTACACAATATCCACACTCATGCCCTAAACTGCATAAGCAGTAACCCTTCAGAGAACTTCAAAATATTACGAAAGCAAGTTTTCCCCCTTATGAAATCATGTTGACTATCCAACAAAATTTCAAACTTTGTTAAATGAACTTGTAAAGGATATTCTATCAGATTTTCAAAAAATAAAATCACACCACTGTTGTAAGACTTAATAAGACTACAAGTATCTGGACAGTTTTTATCACCTTCCTTGAACTTCCAATCTTCTGGTACCTTTTTTTGTCAAGAGGTAACAGTTTCAGATATCTTAACCTGTCCTTGAATGACAACTTTTCCATCCCTGATATCACAGCGACCCCTATTTTTAAACCGCTCGCCTATGACAATGTGTCAATATCATAGTCGTTATAAAAGTAATTAGTTTTTGACTGGTAAATATATCTTTTTGAAATTCGAGGCGTTTGTTGTTGATTTAAAAAAATGTGCCATGTTTTAGGCCAATATGTATTAAAGATGTTAAGTTTAACAAAAACGAAACTCTTCACGATAATTCTTGTTAGTTGTGTTTGCATTTCTACTTATTTGCTTCTGGAAACAGGTAGGACCAAAGTTAGGCTTAAGTTAAAATATATTAATAATATATATGAAGCACAATATATCATTCATTTCACCATTTATCACTAAATTATATCAGTTTATTGAAATCCCACCCCTCATCAGTAACACTGGATTATAGATAATGACAAATCGAGAAAAATAAAACTACTCTCCTTATAACGATATAATTATAAGATACTTGTAAGTTATACTTGTACTATAACTTTTATGAAGATTAGTTTTATATTTTCAAAATGCCCATGCCCAGCGTTACTGATGAGGTGTAGAATAGTAGAAACATTAATTTAGTCAAACATTACAAAAATGAAATGAAAGTTGCATGCAACCAGAAAAAATTGCAACTGAACCTAAGATGATAAGTGGTAACAAGTACAAACTTTATAAAGCTATTAGCTATGTTTTTGAAATAGAAAATTATTAGATTGTATGATAACTGACATTATTACATTGACTCGATTCCAAATGGTGAAAAATGTGAAATTTTTTTCAAATTGGGGTTTGATAATCACTCAATCGGTGGTTAAATACAAAATAGCTTTGACTTCTTTGGTGAAATGTATTAAAAACGTATTTTCTTTGTTAATTCATGAATACCAAAAATGTTTTTTTTTTTGAAATGGTGACTTATAATTATAGGCACAAATATTAGACAAATTTATCATATCATGCATTGTTTTCTGAACATAATATAGGAGGATTATTGTTATTTATGTATTTTAAGAAATCTTTGATAAACTCTCCTGGGGGTTTTATATTTTTAATATTTTTTAACTTTGGAAATAACTCCCTAAATTGTATGAAAAATTTGTTATATGGATCCAGAAGCTTATATTATCCAAAATAGTCATATTTCAGAAAGATTCAAAATCTCTAGAGGATTTAGGCAAAGAGTTCCTTTATATTCATGTTCATTTTTTCTTTATGTGAAGGTTTTGGGAATTTTGATGCATGAAAGTAACAATATAAAAGGGATTCTTAGAAAAAATATAGCATTAAACTTATGCAATATGCACATGATAAAAAGCTGGTACTTGATGGCTTGATAAAATCTCTTGAAAATGCATTAGAAGTTTTTTACTTCTTTGCTGATATTTCAGAGTTAAATATTAATTTTCACAAGTCAAGTTTATTTGGAGCAAATTCTTGTTCTTCTAAAGTATTTAATGTTAAATGTAACTTAAGTTGGAGTTGTAATTTTTCTTTACTTGGTTATCCATTTCGAGGCCAATTTAGAAAATGTGAGTGGAAAAAAAATTACATAAGACAGATGGTTGAGGCTCATAATATGTTACAAAATTGAAGAATAAGAAAATTAATAATTAAAGGGAAAATGATTATTATAAAGGTGTTAATTATTCATATAATTGTGAATGTATTAATTGTAATATCAAACCCACATGAAAAATTAATCAAAAAGAATGATTTATAATTATAATTGGAACAGTGGCCCTGACTGAGTGTCTATAAGAAAGACTGTACAAACTATATTGACGGTGGTGTAAAAGGGTTAAATCTTGCGAGTTTTGTGGAAGCATAAAATTCTCTTAGATAAAGAAGAATATATTAGTCAATATTATTTCTTGGGTAAAGAGCCAAAACTGTACACAGTATTCCAACTTTGGCCTAACTAGTGGTTTGTATAGTGTCAGATCCTTTTTTTTTTTCTAATAAACTTAAAATAAGACCCAAAACTCGAGTACTTTCGAATAGTTGACTATTCTTCTTCAGGAGAACAAAGGTGTCTACTGTAGGTGTCAGTGACTTGTTGGCCATAAATTTGACAATACATGAACAGCACACGCTTCACTTGTTTTTAAAATAATTTATATATATGTTTAGAACAAGTTAAACATATGTACAAAAATTATTTACATTATGGAGATCATAGTTGTATCTTAAATACTATACAGTTCTCTTCTTGTTAAAGGTCTACTCAGGCCTATTCAATTGTTTTAGAATTCAGTTGACAAGCCGAAATATTTTTCTCTATTTTTATCACAATAGTATCTGTTTATAATTCACTTATGCTGTGGCGTGAGTTACTGCAGTTGTATCCTGAACTTCCAATAATTGTCTGCCTTTTGTTAAAGTCCACACAGACGGGTTCAATTAGTTTATAACACCCTTTGACGAGACAATTTTTTCTCCTTATCTTTTTTAAAACTGTTAATCTTACTCTAACATATCGAGTGTTAGGCCATTCACTCCCATGACGGTTAGCTTTTCTCTTACCGAACTTCTCTTTTTACGTGACTTTTACTCTGTTTTCGCTTATCTGGTCACAGCTATTTATACATCTATCACTTAGGCCTTCTAGAAATCTCCATAGTCTCAGCATCAATGGATTGCAAACACAAAAGAAATTAATTAATAATACTACCTATACTAAACAGACTTTTATATCACACATATAGAGATAATTGCTTCTTTTGACTTGTAATCAATATTACTATAAATATACCCTATAGTTTTTTTTTGATGGCTTAAGTCACTTTACTTTTGTCATGCTGTTGCTTCCCATTAATATTAAATTGTTATCTAACCATGATAACCCAAATACATTACCTTGTACTGACTGTAATTAAAGGTGTTTGTTTGAAAATTTTTGGAATTCTGATTCGTGGATGGTATAAGTCATTCTGTAACATTTTAACATTCTTTCTACAGGTGGAAATACCCAAGAGTTTAATATTATCAGCAGCTTACTGATTTTATATGTATGCTCTATCAATAGCATTAATGTAAATAAGGAAGAGCAAAGGAAAGGGTTCAGTGGAGGGATAGGGCTACCAGGATGGTTCCAGAGATAGAGGAGCGAATTAAGAAGTACAGAGTATGATAAAAGCATTTAAAGAAAAGGACCATAATTTATTTCTATCAGGGATACTACACAGGCATAATTGTGGGGATAATATTATAGATAATTCACTAGGACTGAATGCTAGGCTTAAATCAATATTTAAGGACAAACAGATTGGCTGGATGAACTTGTAGGATCAGAGCAATGAGAGAAGGAAACTTTATGGAATGGATGGTTTACATATATTAGGTTGACAAGAAATTAATGTTACTTTTCTTTAGATGAAAAAACCTGAACAACTTGTATATCAAAACAAAACATCTATTAAATGAAATAGTCTCCATTCTTATTGATTATACTTTCCCATCTTACAATCAGGTTGTTAATGCCCTGATTAAAGAAATCACTTGGCTTTGAAGCAAAATACATGTCGATCTCCTTTTTAACACCCTCCACATTTGCATACATTTTCCCTTTCAGATAATGTTCCAGCAAACAAAAAAGATGGTAATCTGATGGTGCTATATCTGGAGAATATGGTAGGTGGGGGAGAACTTCCCAACCCAACTTCATAATCTTGTGTTGTGTTAAATGTGCAACATGTGAACGTGCATTGTTATAGAGAAGAACACCTCACCTATTGATGAGTGAAGGGCGTTTCTGATGTGGAGCTTGATTTAAATGTTCCAGTTGCTGACTATAGATCTCTGCATTTACAGTTTGCTGTGGATTGAGAAGATTGAAATGAATCACTCCTTTGGTGTTCCACCAGATGCAAAGCATCACTTTCTGTGGATGGAGTCCAGGTTTTGGGGTCGGAAGTGGTTTTTGTCTAGGACTGAGCCATTGTTTTTGGTGTTTAATATTTGCATAGAGAAGCTAAGTTTCTTTGCCAGTGACAATTCTGTCCAAAAATGGTTCACACACATTACGTGCCAGATGAGACAAAGAAACGTTCACACATTTTAAACAATGATCTTTGGAGAGTTTGTGAGGCATCCACCCACCTTCTTTATAGGGTTTTTCCATAGTCTTTAGATGTTTACATATTGTTTCATGAGAGACATGCAATTTCAGGGCCATTTCACGAGTGTATTGCCTTGGGTTAGACTCAACAAGCTTCTTCAGAGCATCAATATCAATTCCAACATGATGGACCCTGTCATCACAATTTTTAAGGCTAAAGTTACCTGAATGAAATTTGCTGAACCATCGTTGACACTTACGAACATTCAAAACATTTCCATAAACTTCTTTGATATTCTTTGTGGCTACAGAAGCATTGTTTCCCTTCTTGTATTCCAATAGCATTACATGCCAAATGTGTGTCTTGTTGTGTGCCATCGCTATAAGAGATTAGAGTATACTAAACTTTACACATTATATAGGCTATACTAATGTGACATTTAGGCGGTTCATTTAACAATTATACATGATGTACATTTTGGGGGGGGGGGGTAATGAAAGTGTTCCAAAACTCGACATTAACTTCTTGACGACCTAATAAATAGGGTATGACTGGTTTGTTTGTAAGGACTATTAGCTTTGCCATGAGAACAGTAACTAAAAAGTGAGAATAGACTAATATGGAAAAAATAAGATATATAGAAAATATATATACAAACACTACAGGAGTAGTTTTAAGGGTATGCTAAAATGTTACTATATATATATTGTAGTTTAAGAAATAAAATAAAAAATGGATGACTTTACGGCAATAATCTGAATGGAAGATTTTGATATATTGAGTAACTAAAAGTTTGTTGTAAGACAGATGTTTCATGGAAATACAGGGTTATAGGTTATTTAATAGGGATAGTGCTAAAAAGAGGGTGTAGAATTAGCTTTATATGTAAAATGCAAGTTTTATTGAAGTTGAGGATATCAAATATGACAGCATGAAGATGGAATCTATTTGGGTTTCTGTTAGTGAATATAGGGGGAGAAAACTGTTATTGGGGAATTGTTCCAGATCACCAGATGAAACTGGTGGAATTAATTAGAAACTACAATGAGATTATGATTTCAGCTGTTAATGAGGCCATAATTATAGGGGATTTTTATTTTAGGCATATAGATTGGGAAATAGTCAAACTATGAGGAAGGCAGGATTTTTAGAAACTGTTCAGTATGGTTTTCTTCTCTAATTAATTGGTCAGGGAATTGACTAAGAACAATGC